CATACTCGCCTGACCTTGCGCTGTCAGACTTTCACTTGTTTCACTCTCTTCAAAACTCCTTGCATGGTATAACTTTCAATTCAGATGAGGCTGTAAATCAGCACCTTGTTCAGTTTTTTGCAAATAAAGACAGGTTCTTCTATAAACGAGGAATTATGAAGCTCACTGAAAGATGGCAAAAGGTTATCAAACACAATGGGCACTATATCATTATTGATCTTTGTTCTTTATATAAATAAATGACCTTTGAAAAACATAGACAAAATAAGTCATGACTTTTCCGACAGCCCAATAGTTTTCCAGCCCCTGGGAATTATTACCATGATTAATAAATTATGAAGTACAATCATGGATACATTGAGGTCATTCCACTCTTCTGTGTATACTATATATTTGAAATTTTCTACAATAAATTTTATACAATAAAATGTCAAAAAAGAAATAAAAATTTGGGTAAGACATAGAGATGAAAATGGGATAACCAGGCTGTGATAAAATATAGTAATATTTAATATTAAATTATAAATTTTAATAATATAATATAAAAGTAGTTTATCTAAATGGTCAGATTTACTGGCAAGAATAGAGAATTATTTTCTACGTTCCTTTTATATAATTTGCCTGATCCCTTTTTAAAATGTACTGAATTTGAATATTGATGCTTATCCTTCAGGAAACTATTTTTTTTGTAATGTACTAAAGTTAGGCGTGCTCAAGTGCCAAGAGACGCTGTAAACAGGTTTTATTTTTTAAAAACCATCACAGTAAATTAAAGAGAAACTTCATTTAGGATTCTAGGGCTTTGGGTGGCAATGCTGTTGAATGTTGAAGGTTCAAGGTATCCCCCTGCTCCAAATCCATGGCCATGATACATAATATACAAAAGAAAAAATACACAGCTTAAAAAAAAATGGCACAACTTTGTCCAATAAGATAAACATTTTGGTGAGCCAGGAACAGAAAATAAATACAATGAAGAAAGTAACAGTTGGAGCCATGGGCCCGCTGGGCCCTGGGTCATGAAATAAGTAGAAGCAACTTGAGAGTCCATATCCTTTCGGAGAGCAGAGAATAAAAGTGCCCTAAATGAGATGGAGATCAGAGACAAGTTTACTGCATAAAACGAGGACTGCTGATCCTCGTTTACCCCCATCCTTCACAAGGACACTTTGAAAGGCTGCCGCTGACTACTTCTTAGAAAGCTGCATGCTTGTGCAGGCAGGAAGGCAGAAGCTCGGCTTGCAACCATCATCCCATGCATCACTGTGGAAAAGGTCATTATGCAAATCTGTGTACATTACATGTTTGAAATTTTTCATAATAAATTTTATATAATAAAAAGTAAAAAACCAAAACATGGAGAATGTGATAAATTACCGACCTCGAGTCTTCTCCCCTCCCTGTACCCGTATCCTATACTGTTGTAACTGAAGCTCTTTTTACAAAAGACAGTATACGTAGGCTCACCCATGGGACTTGCATTGGTCAGTGGGATGTTAGTAGATACGATGAAAGCAGGGTCTAAAACTGTGCTTGTCTAATGGGGCTTACCCTTTTGTATTTCTGTCGCCTCTACGAAAAGAGTTTTCCCTGGGGTAGCTGCTACCCTTCAACCTGGGCCCCAGCATAAATATTTATGGAGCAGAACTGCCCCACCTGTCTGCAGACCTGTGATGTGAAGCAGAGTAGTTTCAGCCATTGCCACCTGATGCTGCTCACGCTGGCCTGCAGACCTATGAGAGAATTCAAAGATTATTGTTACATGTCACTGAGAGCTTGTGGTTTTTTTCTCTGTATTAGCTGCAGCCAATAGCTAGCTGATATAAACCTAATGCTGGAATGCTACTATAACAAGAACCTAGAATATATGGACTTAGCTTAGGTAACAGGTAGTAGATAGCAAGGAAACTATTATAGAAGCTGGAAAATGGAATCTGTATTTGGTAGAACTGTTGCCTGTGGTAACAGGAAAGATAGTAGCATGCTTTCTAGGCATATGTTCAAAGTATGAGCCATTTACTTTTCATTTCATTTCACAAAGCCCTATAAGAAAGAGATGAACTCAGAAAATAAACTGCCAACTTGCAAGAAGAAGTTAGAGGGATTTAGAGAGCAAGAACTTGTTTATTTGAAAACTAAAATTCTTTATCTCCAGCCAGTAGGAGAGTCTCAGTGGTACAAAGCAATAAACATTGATTTTGCTCACAAGTCTGTGGGAGAGCTCTGACTCAGACTGTGGGTCTATGGTCAGTGGAGGCAGTTCCAGGTATGTTCATGTTGAACCCAGGCCGAGGGAGAAGCAGCTCTCCAAGGGAAGCTCATCTCATAGTAAAGGCAAGAGCACACCTGGGCAAGACCCACTATGCAAGCGTTTCAAGCACCTGCTTATGTGACATCTATAAACATCTCATTGGCCAAAACAAATCCCACAATCGAACCCAAAATCAAGGAGCAAGTAAGTATACTCTGCCTTGTGGGAGGAACTTCCAAGTTACCAGGCAAATGGGACGTGGGGGANGAAAATATCTCATTCTCATCAAAATTACAACTTTGTCATTCATTTAGTCATTCATTTATTTATAAATAAATGTGGACTCATATGTTATTCAGTGGGCTATAATTTACTACTAATATTTATTTTGAAGTTGTCCTAGATATAACTAGTAGCATTCACTTCAAGCTGACTTCTGTGAACTTTTAACATGACTCCCCATCATTTTTTTGGGGGGTGGGGCATTTCTTGATTTCCTAGCACAAGAAGATGTTCCATATTTAGTTTGTATTTATTCTGTCCTAACCCTGGAATCAGCCATTTCTTCAAACCTACATGTAAGGCCACCTCTCCACTAGTGTTCCAGACCCATTACAAGGACAAAAAGAATTGCTGAAGAGTTTATGAAAGCTATGTAATGGAGTGCTTCTTACTCTTTGAATTTGAAAGATACAACACTGTGCTTAAAATCCTAAGCTCCAAAAGTACAGATTTCAAAAGAGTTTATTACAATATCTTCACTGTATAAATATGTATCTTTAAGATATCTTGGAAGTAATGTAGTTAATAATATTTTGCATAACATAGTACATTTATATAACCAAGGCCTGTAAAATGTGATAAAATCTGTTTAAAACTGCCCTGTGGTAAGATTTGTGACTGCCTGTTCAGCATCATTGTTGGTGGACTTTAAGCAAACGACGTGGGTTTGTGTCTCAGTGGAATCATTTAGTATGAAAATAATCTCTACCTTATTATGTTGCTGTAAATATTAAATGAGATAGCTCCCATAAAATTGCCATGTAAACTGTAAAAAGCTATTTTAATATCAAATGTTATTTAGAAATTCTAAGAATCACTTATTTGTTAAAACCCCTGAAAACGGACTCCTTGGATTTTTCAAGAAAAAAAAACAAAAACAGTGTGGCAAAAATATCTCTAACACTATTACCTTTTAAAAATGCAAGATTGCTTTTATATGTCATATTTTTATAGGACCTTTAATATATCTCAAATTGCAATTTTGCTAAAATCTTTCTGAAGACTGTGCTAGTATGGCTTATTAACTTTCTCACGTTGTTAAATTCAGAATATTTTATTCTTTGGGTCATTCATAGATAAAGTGTTTGTTAAATTGTTAAAATTACTGAGAAGGAACTACCAATGAAAATAAAGTCTGCAGCTCTCTCAAAGTTAAGAAAGTCATTTGTTAAGCTATGGGTGGACCTGAATAATGACTTAGAAAGAAAAATAATTAGTAAAGAATTCCACTTGTTATTCAATGGGAGTTTTGTAGAACAAACAAAGCAAATAATTTTCTGTGAATTTTTTAGTGTAAAAGTGGTACTGTTTTTTAGTGTTCTTATCTTTTAGAATTCATATTGAAATATTTTTCAATGGAATATGAAAGATATCTTTCCTGAGGGGAGTGGGTGAGAGTATAATTCAAGAGTCAGTAAACTTTTTAGGCAAATCACTAGGTAATAAATATTTTTAGGCTTTTCAGGCCACCATACATCCTCTGTTGTAATTACCCAACTCTGCTATTGTAGCATGAAAGCAGGCAGAAACAACATGTAAATAAAAGAGCATGGCTGTGTTCCAATAAAACTTTATTTACAAAAACAGCGAGTAGTCTGGATTTGATCTGTGTGTTATATTGGGTCATCAGAAAAGTCATGACGCATGTTTGCAACAGATGGCACTACTTCATTTTTGGAAGTACTAGAGTCATTCACATCTATGCTATTGCTATGTCATTTGACAGCTGACAGTTCTACCTTCATTCTGAAAAAA